TGTGGCTCCATTAAAAACAAGAGCTTCCAGACCAAAGCCTGACCCCTGGGCTGATGAGGTCACACGATCTGCCAGACGCCAGTGCAGGAGAGCAGAGCGGAAGTGGAAGAAGGACAAACTACAGGTGTCTTTCCAAGCTCTGAGGGACAGCTGGCGCTTCTATCAGTCCACTGTTAGAGCTGCAAAAAACAAATATTTCTCTGACATCATCTCCTCCAACTCCAGCAATCCACGTGTGCTTTTTAAAACAATCACCTCTGTTCTTAACGCCCCACAATCAGCCAGCCCAGAGAACTCCACTGAAATGTGTGACAACTTCCTGAGCTTTTTTATCAATAAGGTTTCAAGCATTAGAGCTCTCATAAGCCCTCCTTCTTACGACCCCTCCGTCTCCGTCACACGCTCTGCTGTCTTCAGTCAGTTTGAGCTCGTCACCCTGTCTTCCTTAACTGACATCACTGGTCGTATGAAACCTGCTGGATCCCCAAATGATCCCATCCCACCTCGTCTTTTTAAAGAGGTTTTTCACACCGTGGCTCCTCATGTGTCCCAAATTATAAATGACAGCTTGGCATGTGGACAGGTACCAGCGAGCTTTAAACATGCAGTTGTGACACCACTGATTAAAAAACCTAGCCTAGACCCCACAGTAATGTCCAACTTTAGACCCATCTCAAAACTGCCCTTCATGTCTAAGATCTTGGAGAAAATTGTTTACAATCAGTTAACATCATACTTAAACGACCACAACCTTCTTGAACAGTTTCAATCTGGCTTTAAAACTCACCACAGCACTGAGTCTGCGCTGCTGAAAGTCTTCAACGACATTCTTTTAGCCGCAGACTCTGGTGACTGTGTAGTTTTAATGTTGTTGGACTTGACTGCTGCCTTCGACACAGTAGACCATCACATCCTCCTGTCTCGTCTGGAGAACTGGGTGGGCATTCAGGGTCCTGCTCTACAGTGGTTCAGATCCTATCTGACAGAAAGAAACTTCTGCGTGCGCATTGGTGCTGTGGAGTCCTCTGTAGCCCCTCTCACCTGTGGAGTACCTCAGGGTTCTATACTTGGCCCTCTTCTGTTTTCCCTGTATCTACTCCCTCTGGGACATCTTCTCCGGAAACATGGCATTTCTTTTCATTTTTATGCTGATGACAGCCAAATCTATGTTCCGTTAAAACAGGGCAAACACCATTCCTTGAAACAACTCCTGGGGTGTATGGCAGAAGTCAGAGCATGGATGTCACTAAACTTTTTACATTTTAATGACAAAAAGACAGAGGTCTTGTTGTTTAAGCCTAGTGAAGGCTCCAATATCCATGCTGATCTGGGTCCTTTAACAGAACATCTGACTGAGACAGCAACTAACCTGGGCGTGAGGCTGGACAGTGACTTCAAACTTGACACGCAGATTAAATCAGTGATCAAGTCCAGCTTCTTTCATTTGAGACAACTGGCCAAGGTCAAACCATTTCTGTCACAACATCATTTTCAGATCTTAATCCATGCTTTCATCACAACTCGCCTGGATTACTGTAATTCTCTTTATGTCGGTCTGAGCCAGTCATTACTGACTCGACTTCAGCTGGTTCAGAACGCAGCTGCCCGCCTTTTAACTGGTACCAAAAAACGAGAACACATCACCCCTGTTTTAGAATCACTACATTGGCTCCCGGTTCGCTTCAGGATTAATTTTAAGGTTCTTTTATTTGTTTTCAAATGTCTTCATGGTCTCGCCCCACAGTATCTGTCCGACCTGCTCCAGCTGTACACTCCTTCTCGCTCTCTCAGGTCAGCAGATCAGCTGCTGCTGGTCGTCCCAAGGTCCAACAGGAGACTGAGAGGTGACCGAGCTTTCTCAGTCGCTGCCCCTAAACTGTGGAACGAGCTGCCTCTGCATGTCAGACAAGCTGGCTCACTTCCTGTTTTTAAGTCTTCTCTGAAGACACATCTTTTCTCTTTGGCTTTTACTTCAGTTTGAAATGTTGGTTTTAATGACTCTAAGTTATTTGTTTTATTTTATTTGTTATCTTTATTTTATTTCACATTTTTAACGTGTGGGGTTTTTATGTTTTTGTATGTCCTAGTGTACAGCACTTTGGCCAACAGTGTTGTTTTAAAGTGCTCTATAAATAAAGTTGTATTGTATTGTATTGTATTATAAAGCTACACAGCTTAATATCCCAACCATAAAATGTCTAATGATAACTTTTAATTGTTTCAGCTTACCTGAAAATACAAACAGGCACCGATGAGTCCGACATGCTTCACACTTATGACTGCAGGTGTTCTACTGAGCTGCATACAATTCAATTCAATTCAATTCAATAATACTTTATTAATCCCAAAGGGAAATTATTTTGTTGTTGTAACTCGTTATCCTCATTTCATTAAGAGATGTTATCGATGCTGATGGCTCTTGTAAAGATCCATCCCACAGTGGATCCTAAGAAACTGGCAGCAGATGCCATCTGATCCGTCCACCCAGACTCGACTGGCCTCTCGGTTCCCCTGGACTGTAGGAGCGCCCGAATGCCGGGCAGAACTCCTCCCAGAGCGATGGCCACTCCTCCCAGCAGTCTGCTGAGCTCCTCCTTGATGCAGACAGCCAGCTGTAGGTGCTGAGGGACGATCCCGTCCTTCCGCTGTCATGAGCCAAGTTTCCTGCTAGTTCCAGGATCTCAGTGGTCAGGCACTCTAGCACAGTTGGCAGGTAGATGAGAAAGCATCCACAGAACATCCTTTTCAACTCATTTGAGATTTGCGGCTGTAGTTGAGATATTATTTGAGCTTTTGAGATGTTAATCAGCTGCTGTTGTTGTAGAAAACTGCCTTGTTGCCATGGTTACGCATCATAACAAATGTCCAAAACCAAAAAAAGTCTCAGTAAAAATCCTTCCAGCTGCACAGCATCTGATACCAGAGGAAACAATTATCCAAAAATATGATTTACATCCAGAAAACCAGGAATTAAAGTTTCCAAAAGCAAAATCTCAGAATGAAAGTAACAGAGCTGCTCCAACATGCAGCCACCTTGAGCGGCGCAATTCTAGAACGTTCTGTACGTTCCCAACACTGATACTTAGGGTGCATTCACACTAGCCCTGTTTAGTCCGTTTAATCGAACTCTAGCTTGTTTTCCTAGAAAGTACGGTTCATTTGGGGAGGTGTGAATGCGCCATCGAACTCTGTCACGGAACAAAAAGGCAAACTCTGGCACGGGCTAAAACCTAGGTCTCGGTCCGGTAGAAGAGAACTCCATCGTGGTTCCAGTACAGTGTGAATGTAAACAGACCGGGCCCCGCTCCACAATCATGAAGTGGAGTACAGCGCAGGACAAACAAACACGCATTTCTCTTACCTCATATGGAGCCGTCAGCTGCCTTGTGTGAAAAACAATATTCTCCATGGTCTTCTGTCTCATCTTCTGCTCAAGCTCAGTCCATTTTTGAAAAATGACAAAATATAACTCCTAAAACTGCTAAAACTTGATGCCACTCCGTTTTTGTTTTTATTTCCAGAAGAAGAAGAAGACGTGTCTTCAGAGGTTTTTGTGTTGTTTATTTCAGTAGTTCTTGGTGCAGCGCCCCCACAGGTGAGCAGGGGAATAGGTTGGTTCAACAGGTTGGCTCGACTGCACAGTGCAGTGTGAATGCAAACTCACCAGCTCAAATGTAACAAAATGTTATGAATATTGGTCCCGAACCAAACCGAGTCTACCGGACTATCTGGTGTGAAAACAACCTTAAGACCAGGGCTGCTCCTAGTGCCTGTTTGGACTAATTACAACCCAACTCAATTCCCCCTCAGCCAAAATATTAGTTTTCACTATAAATTTGCAGCTTAACTTAAATACTGAAATACATAGTGGGTTTTAATTACAAAACAAAACAAAATATTTAACAGAAGAGGATCACACATTTTAAGTGGAGGGGTGCCACTTGTTCTTAAGCCCCCTGTCACTGGTCCTCCACATGAGCATGATACAGTAAATTGAAAAATAAGTGAGGTGACTTAATAAGTGAGGTGAAGTGACTTCAATTTTTTGCATGGCTATATCTAGGTGTAAGAAAGGTCAGTGACAAAACTTGGGTTGCCAAGTCAAAATTCAAGATGGCTTCCTCCATATATATGTAAACTGGCCACCCCTATCATTTGTGGAAACTATGCTTTCTAGTCTATCAAAGTTAAGTCAGGTCCTCTGGACAGATTAAAAAAAAAATTGTTGAAAGGTTTCGTCAAAGTCTTTTGGAGTAAAGACTAAAGGTTTCAACAAGTTTTTTTATGTTTTTTTTTTTAAGTCTGTCCAGTGAACCTGACTTGACTTTGTTAGATTTTTCCACTTGCATTATTGAGCGTGCATCAGGATATGCTTTCTAGTGTTTATGTTACCTCAAAGTATAGTTTCATCAAATAACTTGGGTGGCCAAAGATTATTCTATGGTGGCCAAGGCCACCATTGACCACCCCCTGGCTCCTCAATTACTTCTGGTGGTGGCTAAAATGTCTCGCTCCACGCTCCAGGATCTGTCACTCTGCTCTGTCTCAGAAAAGAAAAACAAAACCTTCCTCTGTTCTTCTCCACATTGTAACTCATACCCACTTGACTATCTTGCAACCAAAACATTAAGGTTTACTTGCATTGCCTGTTCAATTCCTATCCAGAAAAACACTCATTTCCAAAATTACAGTCACTATTTAAAATCCCTCAGCGAAGCGGGGCATCGACATACTGCTTGTTATTTTAGTACAGGCATAAAAACAGTGACTATGTAGTTGTCAAATGTAGTACATAGGGTATTGAACTACTTGAAAGCAAAACAATACAACTCTTTACATAATGCCACAATATTTACTATCAAATAAACTTTTCTTATGAACATGAATTGTTGCACATGTAGTACCACAGCAGTTTCTTCTGTACTATTACACATGGCCTTTTGCACTATATAAGAATCTTTTTGTGTTGACAACTGTTGTATTTATGCATACATACCAACCAGAACAACGAGGCGGTGTCTGTCCTTGGACTCTTTCTGATATGGTATCACCTCAGTGTAAGTAGGGATATTGATCATACTGAGTGCCTCAGCACTCCATCGCCGAAATCGAACATCTTTCGTAGCCACGCTACCTTTTCTGCCAAGTCGGAAACTCCTTCTTAAACCTGCTGTTAAACAGAAAAATCAAGCTATAAGCAGTCAAAAATTTTATTATCTTTAAAAATTTGTCCAAAAACATAATAATTTTAAAGACAATATGTAGTATATAGTACATAGAGTATTGAGCTTGACAGCATTCTAGCAAACAATGTGATGCTAGTTTCATCCAGCACAAACAGCAGCATTTGGAGTTGTATTTTAGATCCAAAAAAGTTCAATCTGGTCCTCTGGACATTCAAAAAAACAAAGCGCAAAAAAATATAGATACGTTTTATCTCTCATCTGAAAGACTTCCTCAGTCTGAGGTGCTGTATTCAGCTCAGTCTCTTAAATAGCACCTTCTTAGAGTGGATCAACCAGTTTTGCTGCTGACAACCAAAACCAGCTGATCACATGGTCAAGAAGGACCATCAGCCTAACAATGGATCATTAGCACCTGATGGCTGTTTACTATTCACAGGGGGCTGAGTGATACTAGCAATCACAGCATTGTAAGAGGGGGACAGTTGAACCCGGAGACCTCCACCCCTGTTTAATGATGGACGATTTCTTTTCACAAAGATGGCCTCCTTTACTCCTCTCTCAAACCATCGTTCCTCTCTATCCAGGATGTGAACATCTTCATCCCTGAAAGAGTGACCGCTGGCCTGGAGATGAGTGTAGATCGCAGAGTCCTGGCCTGATGATGTTGATCTTCTGTGCTGGGCCATCCTTTTGGCCAGTGGCTGTTTAGTTTCCCCGATGTAAGACTGATCACCCTCCTGACACTGAACAGCATACACAATATTACTCTGTTTGTGCCGGGGGACTGGATCTTTGGGATGAACCAGTCTTTGCCGTAATGTATTTTGGGGTTTAAAAGCCACTGGGATGTTATGTTTAGAAAATAAATGTCTCAGTTTCTCTGATGCTCCCTCAACATATGGAATGACCAACATCATCAGGCCAGGACTCTGCGGTCTACACTCATCTCCAGGCCAGCGGTCACTCTTTCAGGGATGAAAATGTTCACATCCTGGACAGAGAGAAACGATGGTTTGAGAGACGAGTAAAGGAGGCCATCTTTGTGAAAAGAAATCGTCCATCATTAAACAGGGGTGGAGCCTCCGGGTTCAACTGTCCCCCTCTTACAATGCTGTGATTGCTAGTATCACTCAACCCCGTGTGAATAGTAAACAGCCATCAGTGTGCTAATGATCCATTGTTAGGCTGATGGTCCTTCTTGACCATGTGAGCAGCTGGTTTTGGTTGTCAGCAGCAAACTGGTTGATCCACTCTGAGAAGGTGCTATTTAAGAGACTGAGCTGAATACAGCACCTCAGACTGAGGAAGTCTTTCTAATGAGAGATGAAACGTTTCTACATTTTTTTTTTTGCTTTGTTTTGTTTTTTGTTTTTTGAATGTCCAGAGGACCAGATTGAACTTTTCTGGATTTTTCTACCTGGATTATTGAGCATGCATCAGGATGTATTTTAGATGAGCAAATAAATATAGCTAATATATATTAACATATATAACAACTTCCGGTTCTGGTAAGCTTATGGACGTCAGCTCCCCCAGCTTCTCTGCAGTCTTTTATCATCAAACTGACCCGTTTTTTCGAATCAGACCAAAGTTGGTCCCCCTTCCAACCAAATTCGGTGTTCAGTGACTCAAAGAGCTGGACGGGACCATCCAAAAAATTATTTCGGTCTCACCCCACCAGTCACTCTGAGCGCACCCTGCTGGCCAGGTGACCCCTCGAGCTGGGGTGTCGTCACACGAAGGTCCGGTGTTTTCTCTCTCTTTCTCTCTGGACCCCAATGAACTTCTCATCTGGACCTTTGTGGTTCTACCTGGTTTTGACAAGAATCGCTGGGTGGTATTTCGTTGGTTTTCTGCTGGACTGGCCCTCGTGGTGTCTTCATTGGTGTGGGGGAAGTGTACCTGTGTCCCCCAAACTGGACCAGAACCGAACCGAGTTGGCTGTGGGGGACTTCGTCTTTAACAGAGCCGGTCTCAGCTTCAGTGAGCAGCATGCTACTTTTAACGAAGGACGGTCCACCTCCGTGGAATCGCTGTGTTCACCTGGAGGAGCTGCTCTGATGATTTGTAGCACTATTGGAACTGGACCAGAGCAGAACCGGGCCAGAGACAACTTCAGCCACTTCAGCCTCTTCGCCTCTCGTGCTATGGAGCGCTGGAGTCGGACTGGAGCAGAACCGGACCAGTGACGACTTCAGCATCAGCCTATACCATACCATACCACTTTATTTATAAAGCACTTAAAACAGCTACAAGGCCAACCAAAGTGCTGTACAGACAGAACAACAGGTAACACACAAAGCAAAATACAAAATGAAGTAAATCAGAATATAGACAAAAAACGATGCAGATAATGACGGCAAACCAGTGTGGAGCATACAGGATCAAAACACAGATCATCTGGTGTTGAAAGCTATTGAATAGTAGTGAGTTTTTAAACGGGACTTGAAAACCGAGAGGGAGGGGGCCTGTCTGACAAGCAGAGGTAACTCGTTCCAGAGTCTTGGTCCTGCTACAGAGAAGGCCCTGTCACCTCTGCGCTTAAGACGAGTTCCTGGAACTGTGAGGAGCAACTGGTCCTCTGACCTCAGGGAGCATGGTGGGACATACAGTTGTAGCAAATCAGAGAGATGAGGGGGGGGGGGGGGGACACTGTTCAGTGATTTGTAGACATACATGAGTATTTTGAACTGGATTCGAAAGTGAACCGGTAACCAGTGCAGTGAGGCCAAAACTGGTGTAATGTGCTCTCTTTTGCCTGTACTGGTTAAAAATCTGGCTGCTGCATTCTGGACCAGTTGTAGTCGTGCAATGGAGGTCTGACTGATACCAAACAGGAGCAAATTGCAGTAATCAAGCCTAGATGTAATGAATGCAAGTATTACTGTCTCCGGGTTCTTTTTGGACAATATGGGCTTCAGTTTAGACAGCCGCCTCAGTTGGAAGAAGCATGATTTAACAATCGTGTTTACATGATTGTTAAGTTTCAGGGAAGGGTCCATTATCACGCCCAGATTAGTGACTCTTTGTTTTTCTGACAGGGTTAGAGCGGAAAGGTCGATGCAGTGGTTTGTGGTCGTGTCGTTGGGAGGGAACAACATGACTTCAGACTTCTTTTCATTGAAACTTAAGAAGTTTAAAGCCATCCAATCCCTGATGTCAGCCAGGCAGTTGAGCAGCGGTTGAATAGAGCATGTACCATTGTGTCTTAGGGGGAAGTAAATTTGACAGTCATCGGCATAAAAGTGGAAGGGCATGTTGTGTTTCCAGAAAATAGCACCAAGCGGCAGCAGGTATAAAGAGAATAGGAGGGGACCCAGGATGGACCCATGCGGAACCCCCCATTTAAGCTCTGCCTCTGCGGAACTAAAATCCTTGATGGAGACACAAAAGGATCTGTCAGTGAGGTAAGATCTGAACCAATTGAGGGCTGATCCTGTGACGCCCACCCACTGCTCCAACCTAGCAATGAGTATCTCATGGTCGATGGTGTCAAAGGCGGCTGTGAGGTCCAACAGTACAAGCAGCACAGAATCACTGGTATCTGTGAATCTGAAGATGTCGTTAAAGACCTTCAGCAGGGCAGTTTCAGTGCTGTGGAGAGGTTTGAAGCCAGATTGGAAAAGCTCTAAGATGGCGTGATCCTCCAGGAAGCACTTCAACTGGGACTCGACTATTTTCTCCAGTACTTTAGAAACAAATGGGAGTTTGGAGACAGGCCGGTAATTGGAAACTACTGAGGGGTCAAGGTTTGGTTTTTTCAGGAGAGGCTGGACAGCAGCATGTATAAAGGATTTTGGCACCACGCCAGGTGATAAACTACCGTTTACTATGGCAAGAATGGACAGACCTAGAGTTGGAAACACCTCCTTTAGTAGTCGAGGGGGAACCACATCAAAGGGGGAGCCAGAAGGTTTCAAGTTGCACATGACCTGCTGTAGAAAAGACAGAGTGATGGGTTCAAAATAGTCAAAAGGAGCTACAGACTGAGGTGGGATGGATGGGTCATGAGTTGGAGGGGAAATGAGAGCCCTGGTGGTCGCAATTTTTTCCAAAAAGAAATGTAAGAAGTTGTCGCACAGCTCAGTCGAGCTTTCAGGGGTGATGGTTCAGTGAGGTGGAGAACAGAGTTTAGGGTGGAGAAGAGGACACGTGGGTTGTGAGAGTTTGAAGTAATTATATCAGCAAAGTCTTTGGATTTAGCAGCTTTTACTATTTTCTGATAACAGCTCCAACTCTCTTTAAGTATTTGGAAAGAGACCTGCAGCCTGTCTTTTCTCCATTTTCGCTCCGCCCTCCTACATTGCTGACTAACGGCCTTGGGGACATCACTCAGCCAAGGTTTTGCTTTGATTTTTGATTTTTTGGTTTTAACAGGTGCGACATGATCCATAGTCTTTAAGCAGACAGAGTTGAACTGGGATGTCAGCTCCTCAGTGGTGGTGAGAAACACTGGGGCCTGAATTATCATTTCAGAGTTACAAACATCTGTGAAACGTGCGGCAGTGAAGTGGTTAATGGTCCGAGTCCTACGTGCAGGAATGCACGACTTAGGAGTTATATGGGGGAGGGTGAACTCAAACTGGACTGGCATGTGATCTGAAAAAACATTATCACGAATAACAAGATTATTAACAGTCATATCATGAGTTAAAACAAGGTCCAGTGTATGTCCACACTCTTGGGTGGGACTGTTTACATGCTGAGTTAAATTAAATGAGTCCAATAAATCTAAAAAGTCCTTAACCAAGGGCTTCTCAGGACAGCACACGTGCACATTAAAGTCCCCAATAATGAAAAGATGCTCATATTTTGGTGTGATTTCAGCCAAGAAGTCAGAAAACGCATTTATGAAATCCTTAGATTGAGGTGGGCGGTACACGAGTTCATATAACATCGCAGGTGAATGTCCGAGTTCAAAGACGCTCAGCTCAAAGCTGGCACGGGAAACTAGGATGGGCAGTTGTTTACAGTCAAAAGTTGA